TCTTCATTTGTGTTTGCAACAGAAGATATGGAGGCATTAAATGCGATCTTCATTCCGGCTTCCAGCGCGAACGAAGTCATACCTGATGTTAAAGATAAGAGCTATGTTGCTTCAACAAATCTTAGTGAACCTGATACTCATAATTTAAATATTGTCTAGTCACTGAATTTCCAGAGCAGTACCTTCTCCCTAATACCGGTTGTAACATACTTGCAAATATAGAATTGGATATTCGCCAACTTAAAGGCATCTCAAATTCTAAGGTTCAAACGTTCCTTACCAAATTGAACGATGTAGTGGTGAATGGTGTTCAGGTGGTTGGCACAGATAAAACCTTTACTGACACATATGTGGATGATCTACTTCGTATTGCTAAGCTAAATAACTTCCTATTAAGGATCAGGTATGTAATTATTTGTTTTTATTGTGATATATTCTAATAGTTCTAATGTTTGCAATTTCAAAATCAAGAAATCAACCGCCACGCAAATTATACATCCAGGATGTTGCAAAAGTGATATCAGTCCCTGATTTCGTAATTGAAAAGAAAAACAATCAAAACCGTAATATTGTTGTGATAGAGGTCTGTATGTTATTAACTATTTTGTAAGTTATTATTTCGCTGACTCAAACAACATGTTTTAACAGGACAAACACCTGAAAAATATTGGGTCAGTCAATGGATTTGGAGAAACACAAATCGCAGTAGATATTCTCTCTTGTGGTAGTAAGAATATACGTTCCATTGGTGGAGAGGAATATACAGATCAGACATTATGGGCAGTTTGTATAATTTCGACATATGTTACATTTTATAAAGCTTTAATTCCTGCGATGTATTGGAAGGAGCTTGGTAAAGGTTTACCAAAAAAACAGTCAATGACGGTTCAAAGATGGCCGGCTGGGAATGGTTTAAAGACTGGTTTCAATTTCGCTCAACCGAAAGGAAGACGAGAAGTGTTTACAGCGGTAGCTAAAATTCGTGAATCACTTTTACAAGAAGTGGAAGAGAAAGAAGAAGAGGAAGGCGGAGAGGAAGAGGAACAGCTATCGTAATGTGATGGGTTATTTAGTCGTACTGGGAGTGTATTTTATTAGTTCAATTCATTATAATAAAGAATTTCCATTTTTCATTTTGCATTAAAAATAATCATTTTCATGTAACTTGTTATTTTTGCCTTCTCGATTTTCATATGGAAGAAGTCTAACCAAAAGATGCAGGAGGTTGATCTTGATGAATCATTCTCGTAATTTTTTTTTGCTCTGAAAAGCAGATAATATCAATTTACCTACATAATTCCAAATTTGATTCTTAGTTGCGACAAAATATGTTGATTTTCACTTTATCCACCTTGTACAAGTGAAAAAAAAAATTGACCGAAAAAATTTTACATTTACATCATCGATCCCCAAACCACTTCCATAAATTTTAGTGATACAGATATTGGTCAGATTCCAGAAGAACTTCACCACATTTACGTTAAAAAGCTTTTTACTAGATCTGATTAGCAAAGCATAGGAACATATCTCAATACTTATTGTATTATATACTCCCAATGACACGCTCCTGCGCGGAATTGAAGTAAGTCCTCGACAAGATGCTTTGTTATTAGTACGATTACCATAAATATGATTTACATATTCTTTTCCTTCTTCTTTGGAACAAAATGCTAACGCCACCAAACGGTGAACACAATGTTTTTCTCGAGTGATTCTGAGATATCCTGCACTTAGAGATCTTGAGAAATTAAACCATTGGGAAACTGAACTCTACCTAATGAATGAATGGATAGCAATTTATAAAGATCGACCTGATTTGCAATTTTCATTTATCAATAGAAAATATGAAGAATACTATATCCCATATAATTGGATAGGTTCTAAAAAAAATCAATTGCGTGTTATATTTCAGAAACGTCATTTAGAATTGGAAGCATAACATATATATTTATTTAACTTATCATATTATTTATCTATCTAATTATTGTAATTTTATACCAACCTATATAAATCATGGAATCCAATCTAATATTGGCTCTAGTGCTGGTTTTTGCTTAATAGAAAGTAGATTAATTCATCAGAAATAAATGGAATTTCTTTGCATTGAGAACTAGTAAATCAGAACAGTGATTTGCAATTTCATATATAGTTTTATCAGTAATATAAATATATTGAAAACTAAGTTTCTGAATATTTGAACATGAATGGACTATATTGCATATAGCATCATCCATAATTTTATACCAAAATAAGACTAATATTTTGTAGGTTTTTATTTAAATCTGCAATTTTTTTGATTGATTTGTCGGTAATTTGTTCACAGCATTCGAGAAAATAATTTCGCATATCTGGACAGCCAGCTGCAATTGCACATATAGCTTCATCCGTGATTATTTCATTGAATGATAAATCCAGGTGTTTAAGATTTATACATAAGTGTGCAATTGCACAAATTGATTCATCCGTAATATAAAGTTATCCATTGAGGTTTAAATATACTAGATTGGGACAAGATCGTGCTATTTTAATAACAGATACACCAGAAATATTAGTGTCTCTATACAAATAAGTGAGATTTATTTGTTTTAAATTTGGACAAGATTGTGCTATTTCAGTTGTACATCTATCAGTAATTGCTGTGCATGCATCAAAACTCAGATGCAATAGCTTAGACCAATATTTTGCAATTTTTATAATTGATATATTAATAAACCATAACTTTGATCAAGAATTAGAAAGTTTATATTTGAACATGAATATAGAATTGCACTGAGTAATGAGTCTGGGACTTTTAAACCTGTCAATTTGAGATAAATCATCTTTGAACAGAAGAAAGGTTTTGTTTTTTCATACATAACTTTTTTAAACTTTTTAAATCACCAATAAAGAGGTCCAGATGTACTTTTACCTTGCTAGTTTTTCTGATTATCTTATATAGAAAATTCAATATATTTCCATATAATTGGTGCACTGTAGTAATGCCAAAGGTGATTGGCAAATAAAGCTGGATAGAGCACTTTATCCTTAGCTAAGAAACTAAATATGTTTTCTAGCAACTCAGGCTTCATAGCTCGAAATGAAACATTTTCACAATATGGTTTTGGACTATTTGCAATTATCTGGTAGGCTGATTTAAGATACATATATTTTGGTTCCTTAAGATTGTGACTGACAAGTAGCAAATCATCACACTTAATATAACGTGTGCCTTCTTTCTTTCCATTAAACATGCGATAAAGCTTATTTTCAAGCATAAATTAAGAACCTCATTAGTTTTTCCTGAATTCGTTCGACCAGATATTAGAATGTAAAGGCCATTGAGGTGTACTAGAATTCCATTAAATTTTTGAGCATCTTTAATCTTATCAATGTGATATACAAGCCTATCAACTGGCTCAAGCTTTTTTATTTTCATCTCGATCAAGCTAAGTCACTAATTATTATATCAAAAAATAATGATCTTTATTACTATATATGTGTTAAAGACACTGGATTATTCTTTATGCGATAAATAACCTTTCTTTTGCAATTTGCTTTTTATGTATAGGAATAAATCAGCGTCATACAGTATTGAAATAAGATCTATACCTTGCTCCTTGCATATATCTCGCTTTTTTTGATCTCTGATTTTTTGTTGTTCTAAGTCAATCTTGCCATGTTTATGAAACATTGGATTCTCAAAAAAATGTTGAGGTCCCTGAAATTCGAATGCTAATTTTAGTTTCATATTATACTCGTCTAATTGTATCCCATTCAAAAATGATGATTTACATGATGTAAATTTTTTACCAAGCAAATCTTCAAAAATATATTGACACCTGCACTCGCCAGTGTGATGAAAACAAAGTGGGTACCATTCGAATTTCTTCTGGATTAATGGGAATGGGTATTTAAATTGATGATATCCGTTCTCACATATCCAAATATATACATTCTGACTATTGATTTGATCAATTTTTTCCAGATATTGTCCATCCCGCTTTCTTGCATATCTCATGGCTTGAGCTAATTTATTCTCAGATACTTGGATAAAGTGAACCAACCAATTATGTCGATTTTCTTTTAATATACTATCTGGAGATATTAGAGTTTTTCTAAATTTACATCATTAATTCCTCAAACACAAATTCCCACTTTGGAGCATATTCATCATCATTACTTCCAAGATAATATAACACAGGTTCATTCCTCGTTACTACAATTTTGCAGATTTTATGATGGCTTAGACTCCATACTGGATCTGTCGCATGTCTCTGATTCTCCATACCTCCTTCCCACTCTGCATTAGCAAGCAGGTAATGAACAAAATCTCCTTTCTTTAACCTATTTTCTTCATTTATTCCAACAGGACATTTATATTTTGTTGATGGCCTTGATTCAATCTTAGTTAATTTAATTGCTTATCTGTAAGGTTTTTCATTCCTATTAGTGCTTTAGTCTTCCTGAATTTTTGTTGAATTAAAGTTCTTTGATATTCTTTCTTTCCTGAGCCATCATATTACACTTTTAAAATTCTGAATGGGTTTTTTTAGGACAACTCTGGATAGTTTGATTGTCTATTACTATTCCTTGTTTGAAGTCATCCTCTTTACTATTTGATAATGGTTAGTTGTGATTTTTAGGATTAATTTTGATATCATTTGATATGATAAAATTTCTCTGCTACTTTAATAATTTCCTTCATATTCTCTATATTGTTTATGATACAAGTAATATTATTTATATAGGTGTTGACTACAATGTTGACCTTTTTTGTTAAACAGCCTTTATGGAAATTTCTACATGTTTTTGTTAAGATTGTATTGCCTATAAAGTCTCCATTAATTTTGATTATTAGTGAATTGTAGAAAATATTTCAAAGGACAAGGGATATTGTATTTCCTTGGTCAATGTCATTCTCAACTCCACATTTTACTGTGGATATATAATATGTCAAAATTATATTTTGTCTTTTGTTGAGTATGTTTAGGAGAATATTGATAATTTGTGAAAGAATTCTGATATGTTTGAGTACTAGGATTAGCATTTCAAGGTTAACTGAATCATATGCCTTGAACATATCTTAACTTAGAATCTAGAGGTGTTTGTTTATATCTTTCATATGTTCAATAATATTGTTATAATGTGAATTGATTCCTATGTGCTACAACCAGAAAGTTCTACCAATTTAATTCTAAAAGGATTTTATGGTTATCTATGCCATGTGCTAGTTTGTCCATAATAATTTTTGTAAAAATTTTTCTTTCCACATCCAAAAGAGTAATTGGTCTTGTAATATCTAGGTTGTTTTGCTAATCTTTTGAATTTGGTATTGGGTAGATCGCTCCTTTGCTTTATTTTTTTGAAGTATCACCTTCTTTGATAATTTTATTAAAAAGTAAGTGGATTTTTTCTATAGCCTTTGCCCCTAGTTTTTTGTAGGCTATATATAGAATCTGATTTCTTTCAGGGCTGATTTTGTGCTTCTGCTTTGAATCACTTTTTTGATTTCCTTGGTAGATATTTCAGAGAGGATTGAGTTATACCACTTGGGATTTATGTTCTTTTTTGGTTCATATTCTACAGCCCAGGAGAGAAAATTAGAAATTGGCTTGATATTCTTAACTGGAGTCCATTCCTGGAAGTTTGTCAATCCTGTTTTTAATTTCTTTGAGATTGATTATAATTGACAATTTTTTATCTTCCATGCTGATCTTGTCCAGAATAATGGTTCTTTTAGGTTTTTCCATAATACTGTTGATTATTACTTTTTTGTTTATTGCTAGATATGTTTGTCTATTCAAAGTTCTTTGTTTGATTGTGAGAGCTTGTTTTCTATAATAATTACTTGGGTTATAACTTTGTATCCTTGGGTGATTTTTTTAATATAGTCCAGTCAGTACTGTAAAAAGTTTTATAAGTATTCAATTTTTAGCTTAGTCAAGTATTATTGAACATCTGGAAACTTTTTTTGAAGTTGTTTTGATAGT